TTTTCACGCTATATTTAATCCACGAGATACATCCACGCGCCGAGGATCGTGAGAGAGCTCGTTCTAACTGCACACGTAACAAGGGCGCGATCGTGGTCGAGGGCGAAATCACCGTGTACACGACAACGCACTGGCAGTCCATTCCTTCTCCATTTCGATGCCTCGAATGGATATGTGTGTATTCTCTCTAAACAATTAATAAACAAAACCTGCCACTCCCTCGGACGGACACTGCGAGACTCTCTCTCTCTCTCTCTCTCTCTCTCTCTATCTCTCTTCACCGCGAAACTTACGCGTTTTTGGCAAACCCGCGAAGAACTTACACCCTCCCTTGAAGAGTAAATGGTGTTCTTTCTCTCTCTCTCTCTCTCTCTCTCTTTCGCGCGCGTGGGGGCGGAGCGATCCTTGGAATCGATAGTTGCCCTCCAGTTTCTCCCGCTTCTCATTGTGCGTAACGTTCCGAAATTCCAGCGGTTTCGAATACGCGTAAATGGAGGGGGGAAAAAAAAAAATTCAACTCGTATTCGCGGAGGTAATTTCCCCTCTGTTGCCAAATCAGCCATCATTAAATGGCTATGTATATAGATATATGGCAAGATCGAGGTTCTTGGATGACGAAGAACAAGACGTGTTATTATTACCATTTATGATAATTTTTTCAATTAAATATAAATATATGTTTCCTGTCTAGTAAAAATTCAATAAATTAGATCGTTCTCAAATTTATGCATCATGCATAATAATATTGGCAAAATAATCCGACGTAGCGAGAATTTGCAAAAAGCAACAAAGCATCGTCTAAAGAGTTGGAAATTCAGGTTAGGTTGTCAGCGGACATCGCTCTGGAGAAACAAAGGACGATGAACCTCAAAGGACGCTGTATGAATATCGATCCGGTGTTTACGCGTCAGCTCATGCGCTTTGCTGGCGATTTTTGCAAAACGCGAGACACTTTCGACATTTATAACGTATTGACGAAGGTGGAGGGCACGTTTCTCGTTACATCATTGAAAATATGAAACGTGATAACGTTTTCAAAAATATATGTGTATATTTGTTCGTTGTCTCTGTCTGACTCTTTGACTCCAATTAATGCGACTGCAACCGAGCATTAAAAGAATAACTTAGAAGCCAATTTTTTTTTAGCACAGACTTTATAAACCGACGTCCATATGATATTCGAGACGACGATCGATCAAACTGTGCACTTTGTCCCGGAAAATGAGAAGAAAGAATGACTGTATTTTTAAATATATTTTAATGAGAATCGAACTCGCGAGAAGCCTCTGGCTGAGAAGCCAAAACCTAAACCTAAACCTAAACCTAAACCTAAACTTAAACCTAAACCTAACCTATACCTA